ATACTGCGTGTCAAGATAATCAATGGGAGTAAAATACAGTACTGTATCCTGCATCAAGTTGATGCAGGATACAGTACTGTATTTTACTCCATCGATTATCTTGACACAGCAGTATGGCATTTTACCCTGTGTTTCTGATAAAAGAAATACTTTATATACACCAATTACTATAACTAGTTTCTTAGCAAAAACGTAAAACCATACATCATCAAGTAATTATTTCACGAGTCATTAGATAATAATCTAAATGAGTATTTCATTGATTATCTTGACACGGCAGTATAACTTTAGTACTGTCTTTAGAAGATCACAAAATATTATAAATACGTTTTTCAGTCACTCTCTTGCACTTTAATCAAAGGATTGAGTCACCTTCTGCTGGTGACCGATATCGAACCGTATAATTATGTCATTTCCCTAACTGTTGCCCAGCCTCACTGATGCCTTCCAATATGAAAATAAGCACCTTGACATGTAGTTGAAATGTGCCAACTTTGATGCTTTTATCGCAAAATGCACAATTACTTTGGCTATCCGCCCTACTGTCACGAACAATTCCTATAAAAAATGTATTATTATTATTTTATATCAGTTACACAGAGTTTTTGTGTTGTATATAACTAAATGAAGACGCGAGTCAAAACAAAGCTATTAATTTTTTTTTCTGATGTTAAAAGTCTTTTTTTTCTTCTTCTATGAAATATATTAAATGGTGCATTCAGTAAGTGCATAAGTAAACACGAGGGAATCCTCAATGGCCGCGGCACTTGAAATTTCTTTAGGTAGGATTAGAATATATTAATCTAACGAGACTTTTTTTTCTCTTTTTTATTACCTATATTTTTGCGCGCCAGGAATACCAAGTATGGGGGTGCGCGTATACCCTACTCAATTTTATTACTCATCAGTATCTCTACCAGCCTACCCTCAGATTGAAATTTTTTAAGGCAGAATTAAAATAAATTAATCTATGAGACCTTGGGTGTGGTCAAATACAACAATCGAAAGGGTTTGACCTCCTCCTGAGTCCAAAAGTGTAATTAGATCTCAAATTGGTCAAGAGACGGCGGAGCTTTGAGCTAAAAGTTTTTACTTGAAAAACCAAACAAAAAAACAACAACAAAATCTTAGAGCCGTTATGCCGCGGCTGAAAATGTTAACAATTTTTACGAAATTTGAAACTTCGTTGTTACGGAGTTCGTGTATTAATATTATTCATCATATTTTTCATGAAGATTAATAATTTCAATCTTGAGAGTCAACTTGTGAAACAGAACATCATGAATCATTAACCTTCAAAGACTGTTGGCGCAGATAAAGGGTTAATAAAGAATATTGCAGTAGAGAAAGGGTTAATATAAGGTACATCATTGAGAGCGAAGTAGGGGCGGACTGGGAATGGTTGAGCTCATGGGCAACAAATAATTTTAAACCCTTTAAAACTGATTTTAGACTATAGATTGAGAACAATAACGCATGATTTATTCACTTTCAACCAAGCCCCACATAAATTGTACACAATTTTTATTCTTACTAAAACTTTTGTCCATACTTGCGTCATACGACAATTCTGTTTGAATCTTGAAAAAAAGTGTTAATAAGTTTTTATTTCTTATTTAACTCAAATATTTTTGATACATTTCTTTTAATAATTGGGAAAAATATGATTTGTTTGTCTTTCATGCGCAAAGCCACATTAGGCTATCTGCAGTGTCTCCTGCGGAGGAATCGAACCCCAGATTATAGCCTTGTAAGTTCGAAACTTACCACTGACTAGTAATGTATCAAACGATTAATTGAAAATGTGCGCAAAACACAGTTTTGCCGTATGGGGTTTTTAAACTGTCTTTTATTCCTCACAGTGAACTTTTTTTTTCTTTTTTCTTTTGCTTGTTTTTTTCAAAAACAGTTAACTAGCATTTCTACACTAGTCGTCCTGACGGGTTTTCAAGTTGAAGTTTTTTTGTTTGTTTGTTTTATCTTTTAACGTTGAAACAACGAACTGAAAACTATATCTGTATGTAGTAGTAGTAACATGATTTTAAGTTTGTTTGGCTTCCCTAAAAATATTAGTTTACCATATAATATCTGATTTAGTTTAAAGGAGAAACAAAACAGAAATTCACCAGTTAACTAGCAATCAGACCTTCTCTTTGGTCAATTATGTATGGGGCTCTTTATTAGCCATGGCCCTGGGCAGTGTCCGGTTGCCCCCGACTGTTCAGTTCGCCTCTTTAACGACGGAGTTTCGCAGAATTTCATAAACCTAACATATTACATTTTGAAATGCAAGTTGAATTTTCTTACAAGCTACATGGCCGTTGTTAGTTTTAAAACGCTCTTCACTACTCGAGAAAGTCGCCCATTTTTAACAAATAGAGCGCCACTATAAGTATAAGGTAGTAAACAGATGTACATGAGGAAGTCGCCCATTCTTAACCAATAGGATGCAACTATTAGAATGACGTAATGTTAACCTCACCAGCGAAAAATAAAATGCTCACTACACGTGATTAAGAATCTGTACAGAAGTTATCCCCATCGTTTTTTTTTTAAACACTTTTCTAAACCGTGTTTACGGACCAAGTTCTTTGTGAGTCCATAACTTTGTTCCTGACAGAGTTTCTAATGACATTCGAGTCATAAGTCACCATCAATGTTACAATTAATCCAACGAATTACGCCTAGGATTCCATGTGTATTTTACATAGAAAATCGACGGTTTCCCCCAAATGTTTTGGAAAGTTATTTACACTGAGTTTTATAATAGGCATTGAACGTTGTAAAAAAAAAAAAACATATCAGTAATTTAAACGTTTCCAGTCCACCATATTCTCGCTTCTGTCCATATATCCCACTATGTACGAGTACTTCATCACGTGCATTAAGTATATGATTCTTCGCAGGTGGTTTCAGCATTACGTCATCATAATAGTGGTACCATATTGGATAAAGTGCTCCTCGGATATCACGGTATCCAATCAGGATACTGTATCCAAACAGTTCCGCGGTTCTAGAGTTTCTTGAATATACTGAAAAAGGTAGTAGATATTTTAGTATTTGTACGAGATTATACTTTGGTAAACAACGAACTTTTGGTTAAAAAAACAACAACAACAACGACGATAGTTTCGAGAAAATGGGGGGTGCTATGGCTAGGATCACCGGCGAACACATCGTCTATGTCCGCACGGGAGACCGAAAAGGTGCAGGAACCGACGCCAATGTGTTCCTGATCCTTCACGATGAGGAAGGTAACAAGACCCCGGCAATCAAGTTGAACAGCTTTCTCAGAAATGACCACGAGCGGGGTGACACGGGGTCGTACTACTTCCCCAAGAAAGAGGGATTTGGCAGGGTCAGTAAAATTGAGATGTGGAGAGATGCCTTCGGCCTCGCCGACGATTGGTTCGTGGACAGAGTGACCCTGGAGTACCGAAAAGAGAAAAACTCAAAAATCTACTTTCCTATAAATCGTTGGATCAAACCGAACAAGAGATATATATTTAAAATATACGACTGCAGCTTGCCACAAGAGGACGAACATCAACAACAACGTTCAGAAGAACTGGCAGAGAAGAAACAGCTCTACGAATATACTCGGAACATAGAGGGAGGACCTGTTCAGGTGCTGGTTTTATTAACTTCCTTTGTGCACGTTCTTACTATCGTACAGTCAGAAGTAAAATATAAACAATAACCACATATTTACTTGGTGTTGTTTTCGTTACAAGTAAAGTTGGTTTCACGTTCAACATTAACGTCGTTTAAATGTTGCGGGACGTATGTTGAAACCTGTTGAATCCAAAACTACTTGACTTTTTGTTTCTAAAGAAAGAATTTCAAACTTAATTTGTCCTCGAAAACCATTTCTTAATCATGCGGAAAAACTAAATGTATTGAATGTTATAAAGTAAACCGTTTTAAAAACCACACTGACTGTTATAAAGTAAACCGTTTTAAAAACCACACTGACTGTTATAAAGTAAACCGTTTTAAAAACCACACTGACTGTTATAAAGTAAACCGTTTTAAAAACCATACTGACATAAAGTAAACCGTTTTAAAAACCATACTGACTATTATAAAGTAAACAGGTTTTTTTTTACTGAATGTTATAAAGTAAACCGTTTTAAAAACCGCACTGACTATTATAAAGTAAACAGGTTTTTTTACTGAATGTTATAAAGTAAACAGGTTTTTTTACTGAATGTTATAAAGTAAACAGGTTTTTTTACTGAATGTTAAGAGAAGGCGAAACGTTTTATCTAGCGTTGTGTTTTTAAGAAAAAAAGGCTTTGAGAATTTAGTTTGTATGTTTGTTAAGCAAAATGCTACACAATGGTCTATCTGTGCTGTGCCCAACACGGGTATCAAAACCTGGTTTTTAGCCTTCGGAGTTACCGCTGAGCCACTGGGGCAGAATGTGCAGTGTATTGAAAAGTAAAAACATTCTACCACGGAAAGAAAAAGACTTAAGAATCTACTGACCGTGAAAAATTAAAACATTTTTTTTATTCAGAAATGCAGGTTAATTAGCTGGTTTATTCAACAAATGTGAAGGCAGCTTAAGTCTGTTTCCCAAAATTGATTAATAACTTAAATCAAATTACACCAACAAGTATAGGTCTTCATTTCTACATATATAATTCCTGATATATCTAATTATTTGGATTATCTACCTAATTAACTTGTGATATATATTTATATAATTAATCGATAAAATGTAGTCTAATCCAGATGTTTGTTTGTTTGTAGTTAGGCGCAATGCTACACAATGGGCTCTCCTCTGTGTTCTGCCCGCCACGGGTATCGAAACCAGAATTTTAGCATTATAGGCCCACTGACTCACGGCTGAGCCACCGGGGGCTCCACATGTGTAACTCGAGTTTGTTGAATTTCGCACGAAGCTACTCGAGGCTATCTTCATACAGTCGTCCCTAATCTTCAAGTGATAAACTAGAGGGAAGGCCAGTACCTCCCACCAACAACTCGTGGGTTAAAATAATAAATAATATTCAACGTTAAATTTGTACACAATTAAAAACATTTTATTTAGGCCTATCTATGGCCTTCAAAACGTTGACGTTACAACGTCATCATCGAAGAGTCGTCAATTTTTTGAAGGCCATAGATAGGCCTAAAT